GGGTTTCATAAGGAGCTTCTGGGAACATAAAAGGGCCGTGCGTGTCTCACGGTGGGAGATAGGGAGAATGCAAGAGCTACACAGGGTTTCCAGCATTATCTTTTGTGCTCACAAGGAATATATAAGAAATACAAGAAGCCATTATAAGAAAAACTAAATACATTACCGTCATAGCTCTCAAACTGCCCTTTTTATAAGTTAGGACACAGGAAACCCAATGAATTAGTGCAGTCTACACTTGGACTACTTTATCGTGAATCAAGCAAGGAATACGAATGTAGGGTTTAATGGTGTAGAATTTCGATTATGTTAAGGCATAGAACCCTTAACGCGTCAAAATCTTTAGTATTCAATTCGCTAGTTATATATCTCAAAACTTTCACATTTGACACTTACCAAATTCATCGAGCTTCATATGATCGTCGGCGAAATCTTTCGATGTTTTCTTTTCCAAACGTTGTATCTTCTTTGATAAAGTAGAGTATCGATATTCATGTAAGAACAATGTAGCCACAGAAATGACCAATGAAGAGATTGAAACAATGAGAACTAATGCCAAATAAACAGTTTCTCTTTTGATAAAACCTTTCCTGTCCGCCATTGTGCCGTCATGGGATGATGTTGTGCGTATTTTTGAACAAGAAACTTGATCGTCAGGAAAGTTTTGCTACTGCTGACTGACCTCTTAAAATGTTGTGTCATGCTGAGTCCTTTAATTCTGTGTAAGCGTATTAGTAGCATTAGTTTTTCTCTTTGTTTCAGACGATGACATGATCAGACGGAAAGGGGTGCTGCATTTTTTGCAAATCATAGGCTTAAAATTGCACATTATGCGAACCGGAATTGTGTCAATAATGGGCTCCTGGACACATTTTCTTTCTTTGCTTTTACAGTAATTGAATATTAAAACATTTGTACGTGCTATCGTTGAAACCAATTTATGAACACTTCAGGCGAATCCTATTTAAATTGGAATTCCTGTGTAAATTCATGTACGATGAGTCSTGGGAGCGAATAATTTTCGCGCCTTTTGTGACGTACGCTAATTCATGACGCGAGCCGTTCGCGCATAAAAAAATCCAAACAAGATGTCTGAACTAAGAGGGGAATTTACACAGAATCTTTGATTAATTTATGCTATTTCTAACATCATGGCAGATGACAASGATAACGTAGACCAAAAAGCTAGCTCTTTAGAAATAATAAGCAAAGTGTGGTCGAGTTTAACTTCTAACGAAAACCCAGACGAAGACCCTAATGACACAACAACATCAACGGTCACTAGTAATGGCAATGATGAACAAGAGGGGTCAGCAAACGAAAATGAGGATGGAACGACTGCAAGTGAGGAAATGAATGATGAATCTAGAAGGAGCTCAATCTTAAGTAACATTTTCTCTAGATTTAACTCAACGGATAATTCAGAAAATGACTCAAACGTGAACGAAGGGGACAAAAATAGCAACGACGAAAACAACACGAGCGAAAATACCTCTACTGGAGCTGAAGATGCCTCTGCAACTACAGGCGAAAGCGACGGAGCCGAAGCTGGGAATCAAGCCGGCTCTTTTGGAATTATAAGTAATTTTATCTCGAGTTTTACTTYAGTAAGTACAGAAAATAGTGAAAGTGGGGACTCGCAAAATTCAACGGAAAGTGAGGACGTTGCAACTGGAGACCAAATCTGTGACTTAAACACTGAAAATGTAACCGAAGACGAAGCTGAAAATCAACGACGTGGCTCTTTRGGAATYATCAGTGAKTTAATTTCAAGTTTTACTTCTGTAAGYGATGAAAATAAAGATGACTTACAAAGTGGCAATGCGAATGAGCCGACGACAACCGATGCASAAGAGGTCGATGGTGATGTATTAGACGATACTGCAGATGTCAAAGAACAAGATAGTTTTAACCAGCGAGTAAGATCATCGAGTTCTGCCCTTTACACTGAACCAGAGAATATTGACAAAAAAGATTTGGATTATGTAACGCTTGTTTCGTCTTGACAGCTGAAAAAGTGTTTATATCATCAACGGTATGTGACAATGTTGATATTGGGCTCCCTGTGTAACCCTTTGAGAAATCACATTTTTCATATTTTGCTGGCTGAAGTTAGTTTCAAATGATAAAATCTGTCTAAATTGGGCTCCATGCATACTCCATAACTGCTCATTTCTAGAGGAGACAACTTTTAGACTGAAAAAAACAACAGCATATGTTTTTCAGCCTTCCACTACTTGACTCCCCTGCTCCACTAAATATAAAAATTCCTTACTTTAA